CTCCAGGCTGGGCACAGGGCAGCAGAGTGCTGCTGCCACTTCACACTGGGTTCTATTATATTGCATGGAAATCATATTTGACAAATCCTCTTTTTTTTTTTTTTTTCCCTCCAGGGGTAAAAGAAAAGAAAAAGAAAAGTTTCCCTTTTTCCACTACCAAGAGTTTCTGTTTTCTTCAGCCAAATGAAGCTGCAAGTAGTTATGGCTTTATTTTCATGTTGTTGTGTTTGATGAAAATGGGAACATGAGCCGATCAAAAATAGCAATGCTGAATACTTTTTAGCTTCCCATGCCCAGGAAGAACAAAACACAGTAGGCAAACAAAAAGACCAGACAGTGGTAAGGGTAAATATCCTTACCATTTTCGTTTTCAAGACCTGTTCGAAACAAAGGTAAGGAAAACTGTTTGTTTAAAAAGTATGAATTTTGAAATGACCACAATGTTCCTTTTAAATGGCACTGAAATAGAAGATAAAGACAGGGTACTGAGTGAAAGAGTGCTGATGGTGCTTTTATTGTGTGATTTGCCTTGTTTTTTTTCTGAAGTACTTCTTTTTAGCCGATTACCATGTATTTACAGTTGGTGTAATTATATCTAATTACTTAATTAGCATGAATACATGTAATTACTAACTTTGAATATGTAATTATGTCAGGGCAGCCTGTAATAAATGAGGTTGAAAAAAACCCTCATTAGGACTCTATGGAAGGATGGCTGCTCCACCCATGTGGAGAATGAATCCTAGTCCCCAGACTACACCAGTCCCAGAAGAGGAAAAGCCAGCCAGCTCCAGTCGTGTCTGGCAACAACCTCCACCAAAATCAAACCACTTGCCCAAAAAGTTTAGTTTCACACCACTGGTGGGAACTCTGCATCCACTGATGGGAGACAGATGGGGATCTACAAATGATCTGCCCCCCAGATTAATTTTTTTCCATCAAGGTTTGGATTTTCTTCCTCTGATTTGTGTCATACAGACAGAAGAATTCTGCTGCCCAACAAGAAATATAAGAGAATAACTGCAAAACTGTGCTGTGGCATATGAGTAAAGCTTAAGAGATCAGATCCAAGAACTAATCTGCATCTGATGCGTTGTGTTAATAATTAATTACTACTATTAAAGTAAAACAACCTTCCAAAATGTTTATTCTGAAAAATTACCAGTCTTGCACCACAAAAATCTCCACCTACTCATAATTATCCATTTTGCAAATCCGAATCCTGAACATCAGGAGACAGAGCTAAGGTTAAAAGTTGCTGTACACGTATGAAAACTATGTCCTAGCAACATCTTCATGAACTTATTTCAAGCCAATGCTCCCTTTTCTTCCACTGATCAGGAGATATCTGTTGCAATGAGCTGACTTTTCTTGCCCAAACAGTCTGATACTCATATTGACACAAATGAGGGTTGACTGGATCATGTTTTGCCTTACCAAAAAACCTGACCATAAGATTGAGCCATGTGGTCCTACTCTGTATCTCCTCATCACATATTCTGTCCACAGTGCTTGCTCCACAAGTCCTGCTCTTCTCCTCTCATCTGTTTATTTCCAAATATAGAGAGGTGCAAACTCATTGCAACCCCTTGCTCCTCGTGCTGATGTCTGCCAAGCAGATATGCCACTTGGTTTCTGTTTCATGTGCAAAAGATCAGGAGTAAAAGAAAAGAAAAAACAGCAGCTATTTCAGCTTATTCCTCTGAAATTGATTTGTGGTTGGACTGTCCCCATTGCCAAGCTCTTTGTTTAATTCTCCAGGTAGGGCTGAGGATGGTTGAAAGGATTGATTGCAAACCCCAGCACTTCCCAGCATGTCTTGGAGTTACAGCATAAAGATGGAGAGAGAATCTTCTTAAAGACTCAGTGCTTCATCACAAGACAGCAAAGTGGTGAAGTTTCTTCCATGGCTCTTTGAGAAGCCCTCAGCCAGGAAGGAAGAGAGCTCCCTGAGCCAAGCTTGTCCCTCCTGCTGCTCTAAATCAGGCAGAAGCAGAAAGGGATAAGAAAACCATAAAAATCCCAGGAAGTCAGAGCTGAGAACTGGCTCCTGCGCCCTCCATTCCATCACCATGAGGACGGCACGTCCCCAGCAAGGAACACATCTCCATCTCCTTGAGGACAGGTCATCCTTGAGAAGAACCCACAGGACAGGATGGCACAGCAGGAGCGAGGGGCTGCGGCTTCGTAGGCAGGGAGCTGCTCTCCATATTTCAGCTGCAATTCCATTATGCAGAGCTAAGTGACTGGGAATAAACATCCGTCATCCCTGCGTGATAAGCGATGTTTGCTAGTATAGAGGGTGACAGAAATCTATATCACATCAATGTACTATTAATACTGCATTAAGCATATAGAGTTTGCTCTCCCCGTTGCAGCACAATAATGGGTATCGGCATGTCCTCAACCTAGACAACATCCAAGAGCACAGGAATACTTGCAGGAGGAAGGAAGGAGAAAAGCTTTGTGATGGAGAGAGAAATTGCTCGCTGAAGATGCTGCTTTAGCAACACTTGAGTGCAAAGAAGAGATGCTGGGTGCCACGGAGCACCTTTGCTTCCAGCTGGACAGCAGTTCTGTGGGAGGTGGGTCGCCAGAGAGAGATGACAGCTTGCAGCAATACAGGCTCAGCTGCACATCCAGGCACTCCCCAACTCAGAGGAGTTCATCTCTCTATGGGCAACAGCAAATGAAGAAGTGTTTGTGTCCAAGCTCTGCACAGGGGTAAAAAAAAAACCCTCCAGCATGAAAACCACGGGGAGAATGGGAGCAACAAATATTCTCCAGCTCAGGTTTAAGTGGAGCAGAGCATATCAGATCAAACAAACCCCTTACAGCAAAAGCTCCCCAAAGCATGGTTAATTTAAAAGGTGAATCATGAAAGTTTCCAGCCTCAAGCAAAGCCACCACTGAAGTCAGAAGTTTTGCCCAAGTAAAGTCCTGGGGACCAAAATACAATACACACACCAAATCCAACCCTGCCTGAGGTCTCAAAGCCTGGGGTTTGCCTCATAAATGACAGGCAAATCTAAAAATACAAGGGCTTTCAGCCTGCCAGCATCCAGCTGTGGTTTGCTTCTTTTTAGCACCCAAAAGGAGTGCCTGTGTGAGGGGTTTGGTTTCAGCCCCGCTGCCTTGCAGCCCTGGGAAACCTGGACCTCAGAGGTGGTGATTTACTCTGGACTTCCAAGTGTGCACAGTTGGCACCAATGCTGCATTTCACCCCCCTGACACCTTCCGTGGGAGAAGTGGCTGCAGATGCCACCCCCAAGCATCTCTGTGAAGCCTTCAGATCCTAATTTAGTAGCTCCATGATATTGAGAGGCCAAATCCTGCCGTGAGCAACTTCCCCTGCAACTTGCCCAGCTCTGACAAGCCCCACAGGACAAATGCTCCAAGCATAACTCGGTCCTTTGAGGTTTAAGCTCTGCCACTGCCCAGCTACATCAGCACCCACATCTTGCAATGGTCGGCGCAGAAATTAAAGAGATTGGAGAGAGCACAGGAGGGGAAGGAAAAAAAAAATGGAGTGAGAGAGCCACCTCATCTCAAGCCATCACTTTGTAAATCATTTTGAGATGAGGTGCTATAAGAAATGTAAAATATGTAATTAACGGCACAGAAAAACCACGCTACATCCAGCTTCTCCTCTCCTGCCTAGTCACCCTCCTCCTCCCCTCTCCACAAGGAGCCACAATTTAGCAGAGGAAGCTGAGCACCGATGGGAAGCTGGGTGCACTCCCTGGACACAACCCATTGCTCCAAGCCCAGCACAGGGACATTGGCCCTGGCGTGGGCTCTCACAGTGCCCAGGAGGGGCTGCCCCAGGGACATCTCCACAGCTGCAGGTCCCCATCCCTGCCCAGAGGAGTGGTGGCCAGGGAGCAGCATGCCCCTGCCGATGCCCAATGCTGAAAGAGTTTCCCAAGGCTGGGAGATCAGCCTCCTGCCCATTGCCAGGGGCTGAGGTAGGTCTCTTGCACTCATCAGGCAGCAGAAGCCAAGAGGAGAGCAGAGGCGACTTCAGTGCAGCACACCCTGCTTCTACCTGTGCCACAGTGACAGGACAAGTTGGGGGCTTTTCCATCTTTTTTCTTTTTCCCAGCATTTTTAATTTTTCAGTTCTACCTGGAACCAAGACACACCAAAAGGATGAGCAATAGCAGGAGAGGAACGTTATCTGAACCTCCTGCATTGCCCAGTTTGCATCTCAGAGCTGGTAAAAGGCCTGGGAGAACTCAACTACTGGCTGCAAGCAGCGTGACACGGAGGCTGCAACTCAGCACTCACATGAGAAGCAGTGCAGGACTCCCAGGAAAGCATCCTTTTACCCAGCACTTTCCTTGGACACTCCAAATTTAGGAAGACAAAATGGAGAGGACCACTCAAACACCACCTGCTAGTCTAATAAGCCCAGCTCACAACCCAGATTTACACAGGAAAGATGCAAAAGCTTTACAGAAGCCCATGAAAAAATGGGCTTCTGTCATCCTGTTCTTTATCTCCATGCATCTTCTCAACCTTATGGCTGCATGCCCTGAGCTTCTCCCTGGCCCAGTGCAGAGCCAAGAAGAGAGGCCCATGGCTGGGAAACTGCTGGAGGAGGAAGGGGAAGCAGGTCCTTTCCCCAGCCAGGCAGGGGTCACATCCATCCTCCTGCTCTCATGCAGCTCTTGCTCACGCCTGGGACCTGACGCTCAGAGCCCAGCTTCAAATGGCACTTTCAGGCAAAGGGCTAAGGTGACTGGTGGGTGGCGGAGGGAGGGTGAAGGGAGGTGAAAGTGAGGGTGGAAAGTTTTCTCTAGAAGCACCTACATGTATGTTGTGATTTCTGAGAACCTGAGATTCACTTTGGTTTCTGGACCATACCAAGACCCACTCTCAAAAACCTCCTTCTCTTCTTCCTCATCCTCTTAACCTCTGCCTCCTTACCCTCCTTCCCCCGTCCCCCAACCCATCCCCCGGTCCTCGCAGGGGCTGCAGCCGGGTCGGGCACTCACACGTGTCTGGCTTGTGGCAGTTGTGCCCCTGTCGGAAGTACTGGGGGTTCTCGATGACAGGAATACGGGTCATGCCGATCACCACCGTGTCCGGGCCGGCGTCCAGGGACGAGGGCGTCGTGATGCCGTGGTTGATGTGGTGGAGGGGACTGGCTGAATCCTCCTCTCCGCTGATCACTGCCACGGGACCTGCAAACACCACACACAACCATCAGGTACAACAGGGGGCGGGGGACCCACGAGCCCTGCCGACTGCTTGAGTCGGTCCACGTGCCTCCCACAGCACCCACTTAGGCATCAGTGTTTACCTCCATGGACTAGGTCCCCAAAACACCAGCATGCCCAAATGCACCCACAACGATCTCCCTCCTACAGCCAGCCAGCAACCGTGCTCCAGCTCCTCAGCCTCCTGCCCCAGTGTAATGGTTTGAAACCTGCTGCCCCTGGTGGGTGGAGATTTGAAACCCTAAAACAGGTACAAGCCTGAACAAAACGGGTGTACACCTGTCCTATTCCCACTCCCCTTTTTCCTGTCTTCGGGATTTCCTGCCAAGGTCTATAAAAAGGGGAGAAAGGCACGCCTCCTCTCTTCCTCTTCTCTCTTCCTCTTGCTCCTTTGACCTTCTACCTGGGCACACGCTGCTCTGCTGCTCCCTGTGCTACACGTGGCCGTGGCCATCTTGGAGACCTGGGCCTGATCTACAGACTCTTCCCTGCCTCCATCCACGTCCAAGGATTGTGCATCCAGCTTCAATCCACCTCAATCCAGCGAGATCCAGCACCGGGGAGCCTCAGCACAGCATTTGGGTTTTGTATATTTGGAAGTTTAATCTTCCTTGCCTGGTTGTTCCTACAACCCCCCTTCCCTGTTAAACCCCTACCCTTCTTCCCTTCTGTACCCTGTTACACCCCTTCCCTTCTTCCTTTCTGTTCCCTGCTAAATAATATATTTCATTTTGTTAATCTTCAATTTGGTGCAAGGTTTTCATTCCCCCTGCCTTCCTTATTTACCTCTCTACCTGGGAAACTGAGGGATAAGGGAGGTGGGACACAGTTCTGCCTTCTAACCGGGACAGAACACCCAGACATCACTCTACACCCAAGTGCCTGTGCCCAAGAGCATCACTGCTCTAATCTTGCTCTAACCAATAGCAGGCTGATTCCCATAGGTAAAATACAGCAATGAAGGAAAGAACATCCACACCTGAGAGCCAAGGCCTGCTTCCCACACAGAGCTATTTCACAATACTCAGCTCTATCCCAGTTTTTGGCTTAGGCTTTATTTTATTTTTAGACCTTCTAACTTCAGCCTTTTCTATTAGCTGCCAAAGCTAGAAATCCCAGGGGACATCAGCTCTTAATACATTATTCCCTGCTTCCACTTATTCTCGCCTGTACTAAGGTCCGACCTGCCAGCCAACATCACAAACACCTCCATCATGACATGAAACCCTTTAATCCATGCTGCAGCCTTTCATGCTGTGTAAATATAGGATCCTGAGGAGCTGAGCAAGGTGGGGACCACACTGCAACCTTCCATGAAGACATCCCTTATACATTCACATGAGAATAAAAAACACACTCAACTAGAGATGCTCCTTTTCTCCTACCTGGATGCTACCAGAAGCTCAAGCAAAAATGAGCAGAGATGTTGCACTGAGGTTTCAAACCTATTCAGAGAAGCCTGTCTTTTACACACATGACACAGAAAATGCCTGTTTCCACTAGTAATCTACTTCTAATTGCACAATTACTTTTTTATGGAGCACTAGCAACAAAGAGAGGCGTCTTCAAGTCATTTTACTCTCTGGAGCTTCTGGGAGGACAGAGCTCCATGCAGTCATTCTGCCCGCATTAATCTAGTCCAAAGGTGCTCATTCTGGGAGCTTCAAGTATTGTTTGTTCTTCCAAGAGGGATATAATAAAGTTATTGTGTAATTAGCAGAGTCCTGGCAGCCGTGACAGGTGTTTTAGTCACCAGGTAAAAAAGTCTCTCCCTTTATTCTGAATTCCTTCTGGCAGATTCTGGCTTCTTTTTTTACACTACTCCCCAAGCCCACGTGACTTCCAGCTTTTGAGACACAAAGGCAAAATCCAGCTCTTTCTGCAGGATGCCTCTGCTGGGACTAGGCACATTGTTTTTCTCCAAACACAAAAAGCAAGCAGGCAATTTATGTCTGAGTGACTTTTGGTCTTTCACGACGTCAACTTTTTGCATGCAAACCAGGAAGACTGGGCTTTGCACAGGTTCCTTCAGCCATACCCTGCACTGCTGGCCAGCCCTGCCGTGGTGGGAAGGACAGACCTTTGTGTTTCAAGGTGCAGTTCACAAAAGTCATAAAACTATCAGCTGGTACAGACTGGTGTAAATAATTCAACAAGAGACTGTAAAGATCTCCCTTGCAGTGGAACAGTGGGAGAGTCAATTAAGGGCTTATTGCTTTCTCTAAGCAGCTAAGGTGTTGCTTCAAGAGAAGGTACAAAATCAGGCAGTGGGGTGTGAAAGACCCCTCTAGTGAATGATGTGAAGGAAGTCTTTGTGGTCCTCTGTTTTGAGAGCAGAAACCCCTCCTTTGTGACAAGGAGCAGAGGACATCTCCAGCACAAGTACTGGAAAGAGGTGGTTTTATGCAGTAGCTGTTTCTGTGAATAATTCAGCCTGTGCTATGGGCAAACATACTGTGGATATTAACTATAGAAAGAGTCAATCTGTTCATACTTTAAGAAGCCTTTGTATGTTCTGAGCATTGAACGTGTCACATCTATACTGAGAGCTATCAGTGGCATGCCTTCCATCCAAGCAAGGGGCTCACGAGCCAGCAGCATCCACACAACCTGTAAGGACAGAGTTTAGCTGCTCTCCATGCTAAGCCCATACAGTTTTCCTGCCAGAGAAGCAGTGTCAGCAGCAACAGTGGAGCCACAAAGCAGCAGGGAAAGGATAGAGAGATATTAAGGATGCCCCAGGGCTATCTCTGGGCAAAGAGAGGGTCAGCCCCTGCTCCAGCCCAGCAGTACAGCCACTGCCAACTCGCTCCTTTGTGATGCCAGCGGGAGAGTCAACCACAACGACCAGAAAATTAGGATCCAAATGAATCTGATGTTAACCAAGGAGCAGTGAGGGAACCTGAAAACGTTGCTTTTGGAAACGTCACAAGAAGCAACGCTGGTTTTCCTCCCCTCCCACATTTCCTCTACAGCCAACTCATCTTTTCCCAAGAAAGATGCTTCATTCAAACACCACCATTCCCAGCCACAACTTCACCCTCTTTTCTCCTCTAGCCTCTCAGTCGGGCTGTGCTCTATCCATGCCAGCAATGCTCCAACTCTTCTTGCTTTGAATCCATCCTGATATTATCATCTCTGCAAATACTGAGCACGTACCCTTCCAGATTGCCCCAAATATTCTGCGTTACAGAAAATCTCCCATTGGTCTCTACCCTGTGACTAGATGGGAATTTGGCTTGGTGTTTCCCCTCATCTCCTTGTTTATGTGGAAGCTCTGTGAAATAAGATGTATCTTTTCATCTGTATCTGTGAATCACCTGGTGCATTTGCTGTGTTACACGGCCAACTTGTTACTTAAGAAAAATAAAACAAATAATAACAAATATCTTAGGCAGACCCTGTTTGTGTGATTATATCATAATGGTAAATTATTTATCAAGGCTGAGAGCTATATTTTCTGATAAAAAAATAGGCTCAGGAATATAGGATATTTTATAAATAACCACAGATTAGAGAAGATAATGGTCATTTCATACACATCCATAACAGAACGAATGCTCCAAGGCAGATGGGTGAAGAAACAACAAAACTCCATGTTGCTATCACAGTAACCTCTCCAAAGCAACAAAAATGATCGAATGTGCAGAAAACATGACCTCCAAGGGAAACCTGAAAGAATTATGCTTTGTGTTGAGAGGAGAAGACTGAAGGGACACATGATAACAGCCTTCAAATATGTGAAAGGTTGCAGCAAAGAGAAATATAATAGCTGTTCTCCATGTCCACTGGGGATAAAACAAGAAATAATAGGTTTAAATTGCACTGAGGGAGATTAGAGTTGGAATGTTTTCCCTAATGCCCAGCAGTACGGATGGCTGAGCCCTGGAATAGATAACCCAGGGATGCTGCAGGGGCTCAGCCACTGCCAGCCTGAGAAGGGAAAGGTTAAAGACTCTTGAGGACTGCTTAGCTACAGGGCCTGGCACTGCTCAGAGCCCTCCCAAGCTGCAGCACTTTTACCTGCAACCAAGCAGTCCTAAGCAAGGAATGCCACTCCCTTTTGGTGCTCCCAAAGAAACTCCAAGCAGGGACCTCACCCAGTGCTGCAGACCAGGTTTGAGCAGCTTCTGAGGCACTGTGGGTGCAGCACTGGATCGAGGTGGGGCCATGGTCTCTCCAAAGTGTTTTCAGAAAGGATAACTCCATCTATGCCCCACGCTCAGGACAAAACTGGAGTTTGCTGAAGCAGAGTGATGAGGTGAGTGCTCAGGGCTGCAGGGCAGTCCCCTGTCACCACCCATGTGCTCAGGAGCTGTCACTCAGAGCATCATTTTTTGATAAAAAAGGTTAACTGCAAGAGCTAATTATGCCATCCACATTTGCCTGGGTAATATAAAGGAGCCATATAATTAATCTGCTTAATTAGCAACTGTATATGACCCATAACTGGAAAAAAAAAAAAGTTCTCCTTAAAGTGGGCCACTATGCATCATATAGCAAGTGCTGAAGCAGACCTCATTACACCCCAGTATACATTACACATAAAATCCCTTCCTTCTCTCACTTCAGACCTTTCTTGGCACTTACATAATTCCCTGATCTTAATGTTAAATGTTGCTCTTCAAAGGACCACGTCACTGACTGTCAAGGAGGTAATTCCAAGGCAGGATCTCTCAAGCCTAGCTTTACAAGTCAGATCTATACATACATACACAATGATTATTTCTCATGCAGATAGAAAAACTAACCCCAAACTTCAGCTTATCAGGAAAACAAACAAATAAAAAAAAAAAGAGTTTAAAAAATTCCAACCTTTTGCTGGAGCTGAAATCAAACCATCCCCCCGGGCTGATCTCTGCACCAGCACGGAAGGGAACTGAAACTCATAAAACAATAAGTGAAAGCACAACAAATACAATTAAAAATCTAGCTGTGCTCAGAGCGAGATTGCATTTACTGTC